GTTCAGCAGAAAGGTCTCTGGGTCATAGGTGCTACTCACCCTCTCAGATCAGGACCAATAATGGGTGTCTGCTTGACCTAAAAAGCCAGCTACAGCAGACAATCGTAAAAATGATACATACCATGAACATTTTATTTTGGCTTTAAACATGCAAATGAGCATTTGTCCCCCAGTCTTGGTTTGGGGCCATGATCTTCTCTTTGATTATGGGTCTCTTTGGTGTATCGGGTTGTGTTTACTGCAGCAAGTTCATGGAACTCGCAGCCTCTATGATTTCCAGATTTAGTTCCTTTTGATCGGAGTCAGACAGGTGAAGCCATCGGCATGCGGATCTCCCCGGATATTTTACGATTCTTCTCTACTCTGTTACGACTGCCTGGCCAGGACCTACCTTGGCAGCAATTTCTGCTTAGCTATCGAGTCTTTCCAAAGCCTTCAACTCGGTTTTCACGGAACAAGCAAGTTTTCCCATCTGCATTCATATTTCATTGCAGATTACAGTAGTAACTAAAACTGGTCTGAACCAGTTTGAGGAGGCAGCCCTGCTCATCCAGGGGTGGCAGGACCAGAGAGCAGCAGGGTGACCGGGGCGGGCATTACTCCAGGGTCTGGAGCACAGGGGGAGAGCTCCAGCTCACCAACAAGAGGTCCATTCAGAAGACTTTTACTGTGGCAATAATCCTGCTCTTTCTCCCAAGGATAGCACATGCCTACGATGGGTCCTACCTCCCAGAACAAACCCCTGAGAATGGGCTTCTCCCCGGCAGGGTCTAAAATGCAAACTCCTCTTTTATGGATGATGAGGGTTGGCCGATGATGCCCATGCCAGGTGTGTGAACACCTCAACCGGGTACCAACCTCACTTCGCTCACCAGGCACAGGTGTACCTTTGTCACCACACGGGCCAACCAGGGCTTTTACAGGTGGCCCAGGGCAAGCACAACCCCCTGGGAAAGAAGTGATGCTTCAGGGCGCGTTTCCTCCCCAGCGCACCCAGACGCAGGCTCGGCTCTGCGCCTGGCCATCACCCCGCAGATGAGGGGCCGAGGAGGGTGCGGGTGGTCAGCAAGCATTTCTGTGGGTCCTGAAGGATGACCAGGTGGTTGCTGGGTGAGAGGAGGCGGGATCTGGGGAGAGAACAGCCTGAGTTTGGTACTTGGGGTTGCTTCCAATGGCAGATGGAGGAATTTGGGGCATCAGCGGGTTAGTGGGTAAAGAAGCTGGAAACTAGGTGGGATTCAGGGAGCAGAGTTCTCGTTAAAGAAATTTTAAAGGGAGTGACCTCATCACATTGGATTAAATGTAGCTTTTTAAAAAAATTGTTATTTATTTGCTTGGTTGTGCTGGGTCTTAGTTGTGGCTCGTGGGCTCCTTAGTTGTGGCATGCGAACTCTTAGTTGCGGCATGCATGTGGGATCTAGTTCCCTGAGCAGGGATCAAACCCGGGCCCCCTGCACTGGGAGCACGGAATCTTAACCACTGCGCCACCAGGGAAGCCCCTAAACAAAGCTTTTTAAAGCAGAACAAGAAGAAGAAGACCAAGGCAGAGAGATGATTTAGATGCTTCCACAAGGAGGAGATAACCTGGGGGCTGCCGGGAGGTGGCAGTGAGGAGGTGGGTGTTCACCTGTGGAGTGGATGCTTATAGAGCACCTGCTGGGCCCTCGGCACCAGACCCCATGATGGACCCCATGGCCGGGGCCCAGGAGAGAAAAGGAGCTCGACATAGCTCATACGGGGAGCTGGTTAGCCAGAGGTGAAAGGCAGAGGAGCAAGGAGGCCCTGGAGGTTACACAGAGACAACAGCAGAAGCTCTGCCACCCTTAGAGCTGGAGGACATAGGGGCAGGAGCAGTGACAGGAACCCCCCTCCCTGCCACCTCTTCACCAGGTTCCCTCTCGCGTCCCCGTTTGCAGAACCTAACAGGACGCCAGCTGCAAGGGAGCCTGGGACCGTGGGGTGCAGACCTTCAACACCCCTGTCTCAGAGCAGAGTCCAGAGCTGGTGACCTTGGGCTCCCATACAGACGCTGCCTCATCAGACCGACATTGAGGGGTGCCAAGGGAGATGTGGGTGTGACTTGCGGGCCTCTGGCTGTGGAAGCCAAGGAGCCGGGGTAAATGCTGCTGAGTCTGACACGCTTCCACGAAGATAGGCCAATGCCCCCCATGGAAAGGCCATCTGGAGTTTAGGGCAGAAACGGAGACGGTCGTTTAGACTTTAAAAAGCCTCCCTTGTGTGGCTGCATTGACTCATTTAAACCTGCTAATAGGATCGCCTGGACCTCCTCACCTCTCGCGTTCCTGGTGGGATTGGATCTTCCACAGAAAAGTGCTTTGGCTTTTGCATTTCACACTTGAGTATGGCATTGATTTTTCTAATTTCTGATAAGGCTAATTCAAAATCTTCCCCCATGAGACCTCCAGGACCTTTGGCTTCATACTGGCTGCTCAGCTTCCTGCAGTAGCCACAGGGCGAGCAGCTTTCCAAAGTCAAGGCTGGCAGACACATCCACCCTGCCCTTGGCCATGGATGCACCTCTATCTCAGACCGCTAAACATACAAACCATGGGTCACACCAGCGGGAGGGGCAAGGACCGTGCTCCATGTGTGAAGGAGGCAGGTGTCACACGTTTAGACATGTGCAGTCTGATGTGTCACACATTAAGACACGCCCCCACCCACTCCCAGTTCTTTCTGCGTTAGTCTAGAGCATGCTGATTTCATAGCGTTGGACTGTATTCAGAATTGCGACCACACCCGTACTTGTCCAGGAATGTTCCACCACCCCGCCCGCTGCTGCCAGGGGGCACTTCCTACCACACAGCTTCAGTAGAGCTGCTGCCCAGCTCCAGCACCCTCGCTGGCTCCCCAGTGCCCCCAGAATTAGGAAGTAACTTCTAGAGCCTTTTTTACCGAAATTTGCTCTCCGTAAGCACATATTCCACAAGCTCACCTGTTCTTGAGCTCGGAGCCCCTCTGTGAGCCCACACTCACAGAAACCCTCTTCATCTTTCAGGCCCATTCAGATATCATTGTCTACATTAACCCTTTGTGGGTCTCTGCAGGTTCCTGCAGAGCTTGGAGGGTTCACTGTTTCCTCATGGAACTGTCCTTGCTTGGCCATGGACAGTTGACTCTGGGTCCTGGTCTCACCCACCCCTTGCTGCCCCGCATGCAGTGGGAGGTCCCAGAGCATAGTGTTCAGTAGCCTTGGGTCTGTCCACAGCTGGAGGCACTCTTGGGGAGGTGTCCCCTGGACCTGGAGCCGTGCCTCGGCTACCTCCACGCCACAGGTCATTTCTGGGGAGCAGTGGCCCATGGAAGGAGCAGCAGGTATTGGCTGGTGCCTCCCAAGAACAAAAATGGAAAATGAGGCAGAGACAGCTTCATTTTAAGTGATTTGACCTCACATTGCTCAAGCAGCCTCTCAGTTTTGAGGTTGCCCCCCCCCAGAATGTTCTAGAGATCATGTAGGATTCTTTTCCCTCAGAGCAGTGTTTTTCCAAAGTGTGTGAATTCCCTAGAACTGCCAAATATTAATGGATACTATGTGTCCAAAGGGGCCCATCACAAAATATTTGAGGAATGTTCCATGAATGGGCTAAACAATTTAACGGATTTTTTGGTGCAGGCCTTCTCAGGGCCTTGAACACACTCATAATGCACATGACAGGGCCCCAAGGAGGGAGTACCAAAGTGGCTTTGCCCAAGTTTATTTCACTGTAGGGGTTGGGGAGGGCGTGGGAGGGACATCCTGAGAGTCTGGTGTTTTCTCAGGAACTCACTCCAGGAAGTGCTGTCTTCAGCCCTGGGCGGCAGGCACCCCCCTGACCACAAGCTCTTCATCAGAGGAGACAGGTTTAGTGGCAGGAACAGAACCTAACTTCCTGGACTGTGCTTTGCCTCAGAAGACAGGCATCTGCGTAGCAGCGTGGGAACCGAGCGTGCTGAGGCTCCGGAACAGGGGGTGTGATCCTCCCGGAGCTGCCGTTTTAAATGTGTCTTTAGCCGTCACGGTTTGACGGGTTTAAGTACCTGAGTTCCAAGTGCATCATTAAAGCTTCTGCACAGTTACCTTCCTTAGACATAACGAAGACGTATGTCATAACGTTAGAGCCACAGCAGCCGTCCTGATCTCGGAACCTCTCTGTTTTGCAGTTCCTTCCACAAAGGGCGCCTTCCGTCAGCCCAGCCTGCATGACCCCACACGGCACTGTCCTACACCAGACCCTGGATTTCGATGAGTTTGTGCCTCCGCTGCCCCCTCCGCCCTATTACCCCCCGGAGTACACCTGCACGCCCACCACTGAGGCCCACAGGTGGGTCTTCCCTGGGGACACCTCCCTGAGCTATGCTGGGGCCCAAGGATGGGAGGCCGTCATTGGGTGGGGGGGGAGGTGCTCCTTGTCAGGGAAAGTGAGCAGAGGGGGAGGTGAATGAAGGCCTCTTGGATCAGACAGCAGAGCCCGGGGAGGTGGGAGGGCTCAGAGCCCCGTGCGTTTCCGCTGGCCTCACTGCAGGGCATCAGAGAAGAAACACAGCCAGGCAGGAGCAGCCCTGTTCCACTCTTCACGAAACACAATACTGCTGTCAGTTTATGGTCATTTAATAGAACATGTCACATTTAGTTAAAGATTGAATCAGCTGTATGATGGTTTTAATTGTCATGGAAAAGGCCATAGAGTTTATTGAAAGTGTCAATGTTTCCAGCAAAAATCAAAAGTGAGGACTGCCTGGGCTTCCCTGGTGGCGCAGTGGTTGAGAGTCCGCCTGCCGATGCAGGGGACACGGGGTCGTG